CAGCGATGCGATGAGTGCCAGGTACACCAAAAGAGGCAGAACAATGAGAACCTGATGCCACATGAGATCCCAGTAAAAAGACCATAGCAAATAGTAGCCACTGACTTGTTCCATTTTGATGGATTAAATTATATCCTCATTGTGGACTATTACTCAAAATACCCCTTTGTGTGGAGGTTAAACGATTTCTCCAGCCAAGAAGTGATAAACACAACCCAAGCAAGTGTTTGGCGAGAAAGGAGTCCCAGAGAGGGTGATAAGTGACAATGGTCCCCATTACAACTCAGCTGCATTTAAGCAGTTTGCGAAATAATGTGGATTTGATCATCGTACATAATCTGAAATATCCACAGTCCAGTGGACTTGCAGAACATTGCGTGCAGTCGATGAAATCTGCCATCAAAAAGGCTAAATCGAACAGCCGTGACATTGACATGGTATTGCTGTGCCTCCGGACAACTCCAATAGACCACACAATACCATCACCAGGGGAACTGTCACTCAAGAGGAAATTGGTTAGCAACATCCCAGTAAGATGTACTTACCACAATACACAAAAAGCTGAAATAGCGGCTCGGTTATACAAGAGACAAGCTGGGGAAAAAGCATACCATGACCAGCAGGCAAAAGATCTCCCTGGCATCCAAATAGGACATGTTAGGATGTACAACAAAGACACAAATAAATGGAGTCCTGCAGTTGTCATGCAAACCTGCACGAAATCAAAGTCTTCCGTAGGAACCGAAAACATCTGAGGGAAGACCCATGTAAAGTCACAAGGTATTCACCGGAAATCATAACAGCCAGAGTGGAAAAGAACCCACCTAAAAACACAAGGCATCCACTAGGGATCATTACATCCAGAGTGGAAACCAACCCATCACCAAATAACCAAACAGAAATACTAAATATCCAATCCCAAACTTGCAATTACCATGCCAAACAAACAACTAAATTTGCCCAAATAATAAAGCCACCTGAAAGATTCAGAGACTAAAACACAAAACCATTTTTTTATGTTGTATTTCTTATTAAAAAAAAAGAAAATCCATGTAAACACAAAACATTTTTGCTTATTTTTTTTGTGTTTCTTGTAAAAAAGAAAAGAAAAATCTCTGTGTGAACACAACAGAACATTTACTTTGTTTATTTCTTGTGTTTTATAGTATAAAATGAAATTTAAAAATTAAAAAAAAAAAAAAAAAACTGTATTAAATGACCAAGAGAAGAAAAAACTTTTTCGTGTAAAAAAGGTGTCATGATAATCCCTCAAGAGTTATGCCCCTTGCATTAAAGTTCAGTGTGAACAGAATAAAAAGAGATGGCTGAACAAGTTCTAATGTATTAAAAGTGTCTCCTGTCTTCATTAAATACTATTACAATACTCAGGGCGTCTTTGAAGTATTAGAAGCTTGTAAGATGTTTGAAGAAGAAAATGAGTGCTATCTAATTTTGTAAAAAGTTAATTTTGCAAAGTGCCAATTGCAGAAAAAAGTAAAGAGTTCTTTGAAGGAAAGCTAATGTGAAAAAATGTTTTATTTGTAATGCATGTTGTTCTGTCTTGTAGTGAGTGACTATTGACTGAGATGAGTCTCTTAAGAAGGAATTTCTTGTGTAGTCTCAACCTTTTGAAATGAAGTAACTTATGTAGGAAGCATTGTGGTTGTTTCACATTGGATGGAATTTCTAAAGAAAATTATTTTGTCGTCTCTATTTTCTTGTTGCTACTTACAGACAACTTTATATATATATATATATATATATATATATATATATAGTGTGTGTTTGTGTGTGTGTGTGTGTGTGTGCGGCAAAAATACTTCTCACATAATGGTAAGACATTAGAAAGAACAAAGTATTTCTGCAAGTATTTCACAAAGGAAGAGAAACTTATATTTACATGAGTACAGTTAGTAAAAAAAAAAAGGAAACAAACATGTACTTAGCGTTTGCGTTTTGTGCAAGTGATCGATACTACAGACTGGAATAGAAAAAAAGTGACTCCTCAATTTTTATACTGCTGATTGTCACACGTCTAACGCAAGGTGAATTAAATCCCACCGATTCAATGTTGGGTAAAACATAGACAAATTAAAACACTAGTTGCGCCTTCAGTCAACGAGAATGTCTATGTCTCAACCATACACATTAGCTTCCAGACAGAATTTGGTGTCAACATGTCTAAAGGCTTTTAGGAAATTCAGTCATTCATGTTTTTATATTAAACATCCGAACATCCGAATTGCAAGAAATAAAAATAAAGAAAACACGATCTTATGCCTGTTAAATAAATCGTTTGTATTTACAAACATATACATAAATTCAAGAGTTAAAAAGTATTAAAATAGTCTTTAGTTGAGTTAAAAATATAGTGTGTTGTCTAGATTTATTGTATATAAAATACAATTGTGGCACAAGGCCGAAAATGGGGGGTGATATAATGGGCTGAAGCTGGTCATCACTTACTGTCTTATACATAGCTAATCGGATTCACGACCCATTCACTTCATTGCAATTTTCACATCTACCAAAAGAACTTATCCATCATCATTCAATCCTCCATATACCACAATACCGCAATACTCGCAGGGGACTTACAAAAACACCCCATGACATAAAAATTAACGATTCTAAAATTCTATATACAAAAATCCATGGATGATACGTAATGAGGTGGGGGGGGGACTGAACCCCAAAACAAACTAAAAATAAAACTAAAATATCAAATCAAATACACAAAATAAAAGGATAACTGATGTTAGTTGGACCTGTCAGGCCCTCAAAAAAATTCAGAGAGGCCACTGTATTTGACAAAATCAAGAAGCTCTCTCACTAAGAGAGAGGGAAAGGATAAAATAAATACGGCCATGGGAAAAGAAGAAAGCTGTCCCAGTCAAGATGAAAAAATGAGACAAAAACAAACTGGGAAGGTTGGGAATCTCCATTTGGATCATAACTAAAGTAGAAACCGGGAACGACACTTACTCACATTAACATTATGGTGTGTTATCTAGTGACTTTTTGTCTATTCAGCATACGGCAGATCAGAGGTGCTTGCTGGTGAAGCATACCTGGACATGAGGGTGAACCTTGTCCATGTCGATGCGGGGTCCAGTTGATTGTGTCCGTTGTTGCCATGATATTGCGTATCACTTTCCCATCAGCTGGGGCTGTTCCTGATGGATTTGGTGTGCCTCGTCTTGATCAGGGACTGCAATGCCGCCCTGAACCCAAAGTTGGATAGGGGGTGAGGAGCTAGCGTGAAGGTGAATGATCGTAACCTGATCAATCTGATCGGCGAGTTTGGTCTCTTCGACATATACCGAGTCGATCACCCTGGGCGGGAGATGTGGACGTGGTCTCTTAAGTAGCCAAGCTATCAGCTTCCTGGATAGAATGTGAGTAAGAAGAGTCGATCTAGTTCTGTAAGATTGTCCCATGTTCCACTGGTTAGGCTATTCGGACCATAAAATTGTTTGTGCCCGGATGGCGTCAGACTTCTAGCCTAGTCTAGTTTAACGCTATAAGTTCAACTCGTCCTTACTGGACAGGCAGGACTTTCAGCAACAGCTGACTAGTTTAGTGTAGCGGGAATTAGTGGGGCGGTTATTAGGAATAAGTGGTGGGAGAGGCTTAAGGATAGAATTAAGTCTTTCACCACTGAATTTAGCCAACAACTCGCTCTAGATAAGGCTGTTCTCAGGTGCTCCCATTCTGGGATCATGTCGGTGAGTTGACGGCTCATATCCCCCACGAACATCTTGTATCCATTGGTCTCACATGTGCATGCGAAAATGTGTCGCCGCCATGTTCTGGGATGGGACGGATGGGGTTTTTGATGCTGCTAGCTGTAGCAAGGATTGTGATGTGAACGACGTGGGTGGAAGGAACCTTACAATATGAATGTTATTCTCATCCGGATCTGGTTGCATTATTTCAGCATCAGATCAAAAGGAAGATCAGGACTGACAGAAAGTGTAGATTTCAACGAAAGATGGATAAAACAGTGAGCATTGGTTGTGTGAATGAGGTCAGACTTGATTTTCTTTTTTTAATCGCCTTTTGACAAACAGGGCTATTTCCTATTGGACCCCACCCTCTGATTTAAGCTAGGCTTTTTTGTTTACCTAGTTAATGTGAATAACTGTTGTGCCCAGCCTGTTCCCGGTATTCTCTTTTGTTATGATGCGTGTCAAGATTCCCAACCTCCCCAGTTTGTTTTTGTTACTACCCCCTTTTTATCTTGACTGGATCAGCCTTCGATAATTCTCCACTCCATAATTTATTTCATCTCTTCCTTGCCCCTAGTGAGTGAGCTGCTTGATTCTGTTTAGTGACAGAATACAGAAGACATTCTTATTTTTCTGTGGGTTGGACGGGTCCCACTAACATATTTTAATTTTATTTTGCCTGTTTTGTTGTATTTTATTTTCATTATTGGCTACATCCCCCCCACTCATTTCATGTCATAATTTTATATATTTCATATTAAGAATTTTTTTTAAAAAAACAATTGTATATATTTTCATGTCATGAGTGCTTTAGTAGGATCCCTGCGATATGCGGTATTATGATATATGTTGGATTGAATGGAGATGTATGAATTCTTCTGGTGTATGAGTAAATTGTAATGAATGAATGAATGAATGAATGGGTCGGGAATCAGATTAACTAGGTGTAAGATTGTCACTGACAACCAACCTTTCCACATCCACGCATTTGGCTTTGTGCCACATGAAATGTAATATTTCAAAATAAAAACAATACGATACAACCAGTAAAACAAACATTAGAAAACTGATTTCATTTACCTGCTACATCAGATTATTTTATTACTTGTATTCTACTGTGTGCGTGTGTATGTGTGCGCGCGAACCATATTTGTGCACAAAATATTTACAATTTCACAAGGCAAAATTACAGGTTGGTTGCAGCAGTTTATTTGCAAGAATTCCTAGTTGTTTGGAATCATTTGAAAGAACTCTTTCCAGACCATTGTCTCACATACTACATCCATCCACATTTCTTCTGACAACATCTGGGTCACCACAATCTCGTTTATTGCTGTTTTTTTCACTTTCAGTGTGTTCTATATTGTAGCCCAATTCACCGATTCTCTGTAACACAAAATAAAATGGTAGAAGCATTATTAGATCCGTATATTGCCATAATTCATATTAGTTTGATTCTGATACCCATGGTTAGGGTAACAAATCCAGATAAAGATCAACATTTGAATATTACTTGCAATCCTCTCAATCATCACCAACATAGACTTTGTGACAGAAAAAAAAATCTTAATGTTTCATCACATCTAAGTTTTTTATAGCAGTAATTGTAAACTTATTTAAACAGCAAATTTTAGAATCTTACTGGTTTTATTGTTGCTAATAGTAAAAAGTTAAGCATTTAAAATGTTAAAGGTTTGTCTGTGTGTTAGATTTTGATGCTAAATAAAATATTTAAAATTTGGATATATGGTATATGTTCTCTTCTTATAAGGCAAGAATATCTACAATTTCAACCAAAACTTTATAAAAATTTCATATTGGTTATAGTTAAGAATAATTAGGGAACAAGTTAATAACTCAGTAAATATTTTTCTAACTTCAATTTTAAAAGCTTTCATATTTTTGTTTTAAACTAAATGGAAATCATTTTCTTAGAATATTCTCGTTTACTTTTTCTTTTTCCACTCCTCCCTTTTTGATTTTCTCTCTCTCCCCCCTCTCTCTCCCTCACACACACACACACACACACACACATAATGTAGCTCACCTTTCTCCTGATGTTAAATAGTTTTGCTTTTCTCAAATTCTTCAGTGCTAGTTTTGTCTTAGGGTTGAGTAACAAGTCACGCCTCTTAATTTGTTTACCTTTTTCTGTTAAATCAGTCACTGTAAAACAAAAACAAAAAATGACATAAAAAATTCATAAATACTTAATTGTTCGGATTAGATAAAAAAAAAAAACGTTCGGTTTACATCATCTTTATTTATTTGAGGTAGTCAGCCTTTATTCTCGTATCATATTGTTTTAAAGAAATACAGGCCAAGAAATGTTTTCTTTTCACTGAAGGTTTTTTGTACTACATTTCTTGCCAATAATTTAATTTCCGAAAAAAGCAAAAAAAAAAAAAACAAGGACTTAATGGAAAAAATCAAACAGTCTTCAATTTCTTTATACATCCCAAAAGAGGACTTTTGTAAAATTCAAAGTTAATAATAGAAAACGTGTACAACAATTACATTTAGTATAAGAAAATGAAGTGATAAATACAAGGACTAAGATTATTGAAACCAAAGCATTAAAAAACTCATAAATATTCAAGAATATTATCTCCGAAAGAGAATGAAATGCAGGTCACTGCAAAGTAATACGGTTTTTTAAACCTTCGTTCTTTTTCAAGTTGCAAAACAAATAGCACAAAATCCCTTCCAACAGAAAATATTGAATCAGAACAAAAGTCTGTAGAGTTTTTAAGCGAATTTCGAAGAAATATGTAGATATTTGTATATAGATTTATTCCACAACATATGTGTAATCTGTCTATATTTCTAAGATCAGGTATTGTAATTATTTACACTATTTACATTGTTCGGACTGTTGTCCTCATCTTTGTTGTCATATTCCTAATGTTGTATCTTCTGACCTTCTGTTTGAAATTTCGAACTAAACCTTTTATTTCATCCACCAGGGTAGTCCATATAACATCAGGACGACCTCCAAAAGTGGTTCAACATTTCACAGACACCTCTTCCAAGTAAGACCTCCTATAGAAGAGAACATAATTAAGGACTGTGTGTACGCCAATTCATGCAGCTGTGATAAGAAACATAAAGGAGAAACAGGCCGCCCTTAACTGCTGCAGGAACGCCATAGAGCCATACAACGAGGAGAAATAGACATTATGTTTATAAGTCCCAAAAGTTCATACACCCAAGGACACATGGGCCAGTGATGAACAGCTTTAGTTGTAATCTACTGACTTTACCCAAATACCTGACTACAGCAGAGGTGAACAAAAACTTGGACAGTTGAGTTAAAGGGAGATATTCGAAAGAGGCATGGCACATGGAACTAGAGCAATCTACACTGGTGGACGAAATAAAGGTTTTCGTTCGAAATTCCAGTGGTCGAAATGTCGTGAATAGGGCAAAAAAGGTGGTTCTATCCGCCCAGAAGTTGGCATCTTTCTCGATGATGAGCTGATCAAAGTTTGTTTTGTTTTTTTTTTGTTTTTTTTTTTTTTTTTTTTGTGGGGGGGTCTTTGGGGGGTTTTTTTAACAAAGAATGGAAGTTCTTCCCATTAAGAGAATTTTTTAGGAGATCGGAATCGGCGGTAATCTTAAGGTCTAAGGTCAGGTAAGTACAGTGAGTATAAAGAAATATCAATTTCTATATTGTCTGCAAAGAGACGTGAGGTTCGGCTCTCTTCTGATTAGTCAATTCCGACAGTTTTTCATCAACTGCTACCCTTTAACCAGTTCAATTGAGAACAGTACATGTTTCAATTCAAAGTCTTATTTTACAGAAGGAACTCGTAATAAACAGTTCCCTTCCCGTCCTACCAGATACATGCCATTACCTTGTTCAAATGCAGACCGGCGACTCATTTCATTTTCCTTAACACCGTCTTCGCTCCACAATGTAAACAATTCATTTATTTGTGGTCGTTCTTTCAAAAAGAAAAAGTGTTGCGTTTTGGCAAAGAATAGCAGATGAAAATGCTGTCTATTAAAGTGAAGTATCCAAACATCGTAGAGAGTTTTCCAATGTTTTACAATGATCATATGATATATGTAGATTATCTCTGCAATGTCCCACGTCGTGTAACCCGGATTATTTTTAATCGTCATTTCGATTTGGTCATCACCAACGACTGTAGGCCTACTGGAATATTCTGTTTTCCAGATCAAAATGTCCACTTTTGAACCTAGTGAACTGCATACAAACACTACGGCACATATATTTTTGCTGATTGTATAGCATTTATTTTTCCTTTCTGGAAATAAAAGAGCATTAAATGATGAAATAGGGTCTCATTTTCCGCCATTTTTCATTTTTATGTGAAATCGTTTCCAATCCACGCACGAATCGAAATGTTCCCTTTCAAAATATGTATAAATGTCATAATTTTCAGACATGCGTAAAAGGAATTCATGTGTTCAAACGCTATCTATTGAAAAACACTATGGAACTTTGTTTAATCCAGTAGAACAGTTTTTCTTTTTACTTCCATCTGGTGAGCAAAGATTGTCCTTTTGCTTTGAAATACGTTCACCAGTTTAAATTTAAAGTTTTTTTCTGTTAGACTGAAGAAGAAACAATTAATAATCTACGTATATTAGATTATCAAGATTTATTGTAAATAAAATACAATTTTGGCACAAGAAATAAAAAGGGGAAAGGGTTGAGGTGGGGAATCACTTACTATCTTATACCTAGCTAATCCGATTCACGACCCATTCACTCGTTACAAATTGCACATCCACCATAAGAACTCATTCATCATCATTCAATCCTTCATATACCATAATACAGCATATTTTCAGGGGGGGGGCTACAAAAACACATTCCCATGACAAAAATTTAATGAGCATAAAAATCTATATTTAAAAATCTGTAAATGATACGCGATGAGTTGGGGAGGGGGAGATGAGCCCAAAAAACAAACTAAAATATCAAAAACAAACCAAATAAGGTAACTGATGTTAGTTGGACCAATACTCAAAGTTATTGCGTCAAAGTGAGACATTACTGTGTTATGACTCAGCAATCTTCATCGACAGGTAAAATTTCAATTGAGTTTAAGAATACTTTTTAAACAAGTATTAAATATAACTTGTAGGGCGGAGCAATAAACACGAGTCATCACATTCAATGTTATGGTAACAATCTGGGACATTGAAATAGTGAATGAGTTCTAAAACTTTATGTGAAATGACAAGATTCTTTTAGAGATGAAGAAATTCATAATTAACATAAACTTAAATTTCACAACATTTTTATTGTGCAAAATGAGCAAATGCATTACTGCAATATTTATACTTAACATATTAGGATTTAACTTTTGCCAATCCAAATTTAACATTTTGATAAAAGTTTCTTCCAACAAATATGAATTTAACTGTGATCACCCACCTGTTTCCACTATTTGCGTATGATGATCACGTTTGATTATGGCTCTGGGATCTTCTTCCATCTTTTGCAAAGCCTTTTCATTGTTATTGATGTCGATTGCACTGTCGAAATTGTTCAGTTCGTTCGATGCAAAATCCTTCGGTTCATCTTGTCCTGAAGAAAGCTTGTTCAGGTATCTCTTCGAATTCCTTTCCCAAAACTCTCTCTTCAATTTATCTTGCTTTTCGCTAAATTCTGCTTCGTTTAGGGCTGAGAAAGAAGGGAACATTTTAATTCTGATTCTCATCGGTAAGTTTTTAAAATATTTACATACAACGCATACAAAAGAAGCCAGTTATTTTCCCAAAATCCAGTTGTTTAATATCTTTCATTTAAACGACATATTCATTAATTTGAACAAAATATAGACAAATGTACAAAATTTTCACCAAGTGCGAGGTAATAACAATATGATATTGTGTATCTCTGAACTAATTGTGTGTGTGTGTGTGTGTGCGCGCGCGCGGAATGTTGAAAAGTTCTCGGTCCTTTTCCCCAAATCACCGCACAAAAGATGCTAAAACTAAGACGCAATACTAATCTTTGGACCCAACTACCACTGACGCAAGAAAAACAAGACTTTTAACCAAAATTTCAAACATTCTAAAAAAGGATAAAAATATATAATTTAATAATCAAAAAAATTCTTTGATCTTTCCTCTTAATAATAACAAAGATTTTGACGATAAAACTTTGCTTTTATTAAGTTTGGGGTATTTTTCATCATCGTATGCTCCTTTTTAAGTGAATCTGTGGGTCATCTCTCTCTCTCTCTCTCTCTATATATATATATATATATATATATATATATATGTTCTTTTTATAGATACAATATTCAAGTAAATGCTCTGTTTATAATAATCAGTATTAATAACATTTACCGGCCTGAATGTCCGAGAAAGTTTCATAGAAAATATGCGTCCTCTGGCAGGAATCGAACCTGTATCTTATACCGAACAGCCATATAGCCTGACGTGCTTTTACCGATTGCGCCACGGAGGTCGATTTTAATGTTTTAAAACCACAATTCTCCATGATTTTCTCTCATATATTCATAACTGATCGATACATATCCAAATATAAACAAATGACATACAAATGTTTTATGGATTCCAGATAATGAACGGTTATGACTAAATGTCCTCTTATTTAAAAAGAAAACTTTTAGTTTCATTTTTGTGATTATGTCAAATGATGTCATGTGACATGCTTGAAGCCTCAGTTGCTGATCTGTGACGTGTGATGAATTTGTAATAAACTGATAACTGAAAACTTGGTCTCATTGAGAGAAGGTAAAGTCAAACGATGTCACTCCCATGATATGCATTATTTTATTAGTTTAACAAATAGGACGATAAATTCTTTTGCTAGATCGGAGTATTGTTATTTTCACTCTTGTGAAAAAAAGCAGGCAGTCAAAGATTGACCAGAATAGAAACCCACTTAGAAAATCATCTAAAACTATGGTAAAAGTCAGTAACCAGTACATCGCTGTGAAATAGCAATGAGTCAAATGTTTCAGAGAAGTACCATACAAACTGAAAAGGACTATTAACTGCAACGCGCAAAACGATGTATTAATGTGATATTTGTGTGACCGTAATGCAATACTTCTGACTGTCATGCACCATTTTATTAATGAAATGGTGAATTGCATCTCAATGATACTATTGTGTCTGCATCTGTGATGAACTGGAAATGTTTTTAGAATATTATCTCTTTACGTAAATACGAGTAGAAATAAAACTGGGTGCAAAAATGTATCTTTTTTTGCACATAATACATAGAAATTAGGGTAATCTGTGAGGGAGTAAATTTAACGATAATCTTTTTCCTATCATAAGCGAATCACACGTCTGATGATCAAATGGCTGGTTACATTCAATGCCTCGAAGACCAAGATGGTTACATTCCAGCATCACCGCACTGACCCGAACTGCTACCAATGTGGATAAATAGCACCGTGCCTTGAAAGACTGTTGGGCCTCAAACTCACACCCGATCTCAAGATGAACTTATATATACGATCCATTGCTCAGTATGCAGGTAGAATGATCGGTTCCTTGTACCGCTCCCGTAAGTACTTGACCCCTCCTGTTATTCTTTACAAGAGCCAGATCAGGCATATATTGAAGTACTGTTGTAATATTTAGGCGAGAGCTTTCCAGACCTCACTCTCTAGCCTTGATAGAGTTCAAAAGTGTTTCCAAGCCCTTGTGGGTGATGAACTATTCTTCACCCTTCAACAACTACACTTCTCTACCGCTACTTCCACGGAAATTGCTCGGATGAAGTACATTCCTTGGTCCCGCCAAATCAAACCTTCGCGGCAAGGACGCGCCATGTCACTTACATAGTAGCAAAACACCCACATTCCCTCCGTATTCCATCGGTGAGAAATAAGTTCCACTCGAACAGCTTCTTTCCGCGAACAAGTACCCTGTGAAACTGACTCCCATCAGTATATCTCCCTAATCATTACAAACTTAACCTGTTCAATGCTGGGGTTAACCGTTATCTTCCACTCCTATGCACACAAATGACCTCTAAATGTAGCCTTCTACCTCGACTGGCCACATGACCTTGTAAAGTGTGAACCGCGCTGTAAAAAAAAAAGGGAAAAAAAAGAGTGAGAAATAATAACTTGTTATCACCTTTTTCATTAGAATAATGTTCAGCCTTGTCTGTTTCTTCATTGTGGCCTGAAATTGCTTCCTCTATTGGGCTGAATTCACTGGCTAATGTTTCTTTTTTCGCTGCAGGAAACACTTCTCTAGTAAGTTTCGATAGTTCCGTCTTGTTTGCCTCTTTGCTGTGTTCGGAGGAAAAACTGCTCTCCAAAACTTGCTGTATTAGCGCAACTGCGTTTAACAGCTTTTCCTGTTTATTTAAATATCCTACAAAATTATAATAGAAACAATGCATAGGCTTTTCGTTTGAATGTATATCTATATATTAATGTTTTTACTTATCAATCTTCCTTCTACTTCATTGTGTTTTAGAAATGAAAAAAAAAAGATGTACTACTGTAACTCATTATCTCAATATTTGCCTGTTTATCGTTGCTTATCATTCGTTCTGTACGTTTGCCTATTTGATTGTAAGAGCTATGTTTTTGAATATTGATTTTCAAAGAAAGTAGACTGGCGCAACACAGTCTTCTACTTCCATGAATATCCAAGCAACTGATATCTGCCCATATTTATCATTGCTCGTATTATTTCAATTTGTTCATATATGTTTAACTGAAAGTGTTCATATGTGTTTAACTGAAAGTGTTCATATAGGGGTTCATTTATTTACTTCCTTGAATGCTAAATTTCTAGAGCATTCTTTTGCTCATTAAGTGATTACATCATTCAATATTAAGGCAATTCGGATTTTTTTTTTTTTTAGAATGTTTTATCTTGAAAACGTTTTATCCTTATTTTATTTTTTATCAATGACAGATAAGGCGATGAGCAAAATAGATACAAAGAGATATTTCTCTTACGAGTTTTCTCTATTTTTGCTTAATGAAGTAAAAGCTCAATAGTGTTATTTGTAGTGACAGGAGCCGACAATGTTTCATTAAATCTAACTGTAAACAGCAACAAGTATTAAATAAGTGGAATCTTTTTTATTGTCAATATTTTTTAACAACCGGGAATACAATTGGGAAAATCTGACTAAAGTATTTGTCTTAATATTTGCGCACTTTTGGGGTTTTTTAATCTAAATTTTTCCAAAAACTCAAAAAATGTTTTGAATTAATCTGATGTACTTCATTTTGTTACCTCTTTTCGACACAAGCAATTTTGAATTTTTGCATGAAAGTAGGGTTATTTACAAAAAAATTAATTCTTAACCATTCTTATGTCTACTTTCAATCAAATATTTATTCTCATTTTTCAAGTGATTCAGCCATAGGATTTTTTGGGGATGGGTGCAAAATGGCATGCCTATTTTTATTTTTATTTTTTTAACAATAAAAACAGAATTTACCAAGAGAAAACAACAAATATTTCTGTTATATTTCTAAAATGTACGGTTTAATCTTAAAAGAATTAGAATTTATAGAATTGCACAATCTTGTATCTACTTTAAAATGCCACATCATGAAATCTCGTTATATGTAAATCATCTTATATTTTATAATCGTAGTTTATGATATCAAATATATAAGCCAAAGTTCATATTAGAAAAATTGAATAAAAAGTATGACAAAAGAAACATTCTAATTGTTTGTGAAGGTGCATAATGACAAAAAAAAAACAGACAAACTGGTCATTCTTTTTTATTCATTTGTTTCTTCATCAATTTTAATATCTTGTTTTTCAACTCACCTACCGCTTCTGTATGGTGGGATAATGGAGATGTTGCAGGTTGCCTTTCATCACCTCTGATATCATTAGCTGAGCTGTGCGTTGATAGACTGCTGCCTTCTGCCATCCACTAAACAAAAATAATTAGTGGACATTTCAAGCAAATTTTTAAGTTGTTAGAATTATTTTATAACAAGTCACAGCTTTCAAACTGAAAACGCCTTTTTCATTTTTAATGAAATGATAAACTACATTTTCTCTTATGAAAATCAACAAATAATTCTATTAACTTTTTATCAATGCACACTTATAAATACGTTCAATCTTTTTTCTCCAATAATTATTCTACTGGACTAGTTTAAGATAAGGATATCAGTTTTTAGCATATATAAAGTATAATTTTATTTTTCGACTATAATTAAATAACATCTTTTATAAAATGAGTGCTATGCAATAAGTGAATATTGATCTGGAGGTGAGTGTAGTGCCTTTGTCAGGGTTTTGTGATCCGTATAAACTAAGAATTTTCCAGAATGTTCCAAAATGTTTTCTGGAAAAGGTACTGTAGTTCCTTTGAGATTGACTTGGTAATGCTCTTAGTAACTTGTAGCACCACTTCAACAGCCACTACTGCCATGTCTCTTTTAAGGTCAATTTGCTATCAGCGTCCTCACTTAAATGATTAAAGCAGGTGTAGTTTACTGTGAACTTTTTTATTTGTTCTACTGCTTGGAATTGTTCCTGAATTTAAACTAATATCCTAATTCTTCCCTGTTAATCTTTCAACAATGTGTTAAGTGGAGCTAAAATAATAGAACAGTGTGCAATGTAATTCCTGTAATAGTTGATGTCTGATGAATCTTCTTAGCTGTCGAACTGACTTTAGTATTGATATCTTTATCTTGGATTGGTGAGATGCTTTCCTCAAAGATTCTGTGGCCTATGAAATTCAGTTGTTTAAACACCCAAAATACATATCTTAGAGTTTATTCTGTCCATATTGAGTTAGTTTTGTAAATGTTTGGTGAAGATGCGCTAAATGCTTTGGCTCGTTTGCATTAACGATGAGTATATCATCCTCAAATACGGAGATAAAGTTTAAACCACGAAAGACCAAATGGCATCATTGTAAACTTGTACAGTACAAACGGTATTGTAACTGCTGTTTTATGTATATCCACGTTTCCTACTGGTATTTGGTGGTAAGCTTGTACAAAGTCCAGCTTAGAAAAAATGGTTGATCCTTGCTGTAAAATCGCTTATGTACGGGAGCGGAGAGTGGTCGTGAATTGTGATCGTACTGAAGAGCATAAAATTGCTGCATACTCGCCATGTTGAATTGTCTGAGTATCAAAGAGACTGAACCTGGCCATGATCTTTTTTTAGTGTCGAATCACTCCTTGCTGATGCATTTTCTCAAATTCCTCTTTGGTAAATCTGTGTCTATCCGATTGTAGCCTATGTGAAGCAGAGTAAATCGATCGGCCTGTGGTTTGGAGCTGATGTCTGGTTGTATGCTTGATTGTTTAGGAATGTAATAATTAGTATACTGCTGAATTACATCTGGAAATTCATTATTTAGTGCTAATACTGCACTAATACCAATGTTGCCGTGTGTAGCACATATTCCTGTCCTTTTCATGAGTGTCTCCTCGTCCATTAAAGTTGAAGGCTTGAATATTAATTTTCGAAGCATAGCTTAGATGCAGCACAGGGCCGAAAGTAGGGGGCACCCAGTGAGAATTGAACTCACTACTCAGTCGCAATTGTTCTAGCGAGACAAGCTTGCTAACCATCACACCACGTCGAGGTGCCCCAAAGTACGCTTGAATACATTCACCTACAGCTTAAAATGTGACAAAGCCTGCGCCGATAATTGGCGTTTTTTTTTTTTTTTACTATGACAAGTGTCCACATCAATTGTCATTGTAAATCTAAATCTAATTTTATTGATTTTTCATTACATGTATTAATCATGGCGAAATCAGCAACTGCTAAGCAATACACTTTGATATAACATTGTTCGTTGTTGTGTGTGTAATGACATTAATGTGAGCTCTCATGTTTATTAAAAAGTTTAATTGTGTTGTCTTATCAAAACTGTAGAATAAACAGCCGCTTTGTTGACAACCGGCCAGTAATAGTGCACTCATTGATTGGCAAAGGCTTTTTTGTTTCGTATGGTATTGCTAGTTGCAGGGCTTATTACATTTCCATACCGGTTCAACAAAACGTTGATGGTGCCAGTATACCATAGAGCTCTTCAGTCCGGGTCATTTTCTATTGGAAATCCTTTTTCTAGTAGTCTGCTGTGGAAATGAGTAACTATGTGACTGCCTACTGAGCCATTTCATCAGCACTATCAAACCCTCGATTGCCGGTTTAAGATTCAATATTTTTTCATATGGCTGACCCGGTTCATGTAAGGAATGCATTAATCTATTGTTATGGTGAGCATGAATACAGTCTCCTACTTCTGCCAGTTTATCAATATCTGTCCGTGTTACCATTGGTGCTAGAATTTGGTTTGTAATTAGTTATTTGTACAGCAAAGTTTTTTTAGTATTGTGCCGGACATGACATTGGAGTCAAATAATCCCTTCATGTATTATATTGGTCGTGAAAGTTTTGACACAAAGTTCCACATTACTGAACGAGTCCTGTGACACGGTTTCTTTGGACTTTCCTGTCTGCTTCATAATGGCGTCTTTGAGTGTGTCGAAGAGTTGATTCTCGGGTAAAATTTCTAGAAAGTCAGTTAATACATTTGCCCCTTCTATAGATAGCATCTCCATTATGTAGCAATAACATCACCATTGGGATGTTATCCTTTTCGCGTTAGATACTGTCTCCGTTTGCAGGAACCATGTTTTTATATTACTTCAATTATACAGAGGAATATTTACTATCGATGATGCCTCTGTTGGATATGTGGTAGTGCCGTATTCCATGATGAAATTGGTCACACGTGGGAAGTTTTAACTTGAATTCAAAACAAAAAAAAAAAAAGTTTGCGTTGCTCTAAATTTCTTTTTTATCTAGTTCCATGTTGAAAAGTCTCCATTTGTTGGGAGTGTTTGTGTCCACATTATATGGTTTACAGGGAAATTGGTGGTTGAGATTCTGTCACTAGAGATTTTCTCTTCACAGACTCCCGATCTGGAAAAATGCCAAATGGTGCATAGTTGTATTTAGCTATGAATTGTGTGTACTAGGTTGGGGGGGAGCTCTTTGTTGGAAGAATGATGTATTGAAATTTTTAGCATCGAAACAGACGCCATTTATTGAGTTTTGCGTGTTCACCTAAAGTTGGGTTCTGACTATTTGTTGTGCTTATTACTTCTAACTCAACTAAAAATGCCCACTTTTGAAACTGTGTGTCGGTGACTAAGTGCTTGGCGGTTACTTACGTACTGAGCAGCAGCTGCGTTCAGGAAACAGAAAAGAAAAAAAAAATATTTTGAAAACACCCTGCATTTTATACTAATAATATGTGACCTTAGTCACGTGACTACATGTCTAAAGCAGGTCATCCCACTTCTGCCACATTTGTTTATCTATGCTAATGTTTATTTTATTTATTTTTTTATTGTCGTTTTGGTTTCTTCATTACATAGGTAAAGAGATAATTGTGTTTAATCACTCCTTACGAAGGTCATAACTAATCGTTTCTCCCAAATTTTATTGAAATTTATTGCGTACATTTTGCGACTTCAATATCACATAGCTGATGTGATATCGAAAGAATGCAGATAAAATTTCTGTTTCTAGTTTTGAAATTTATGTTTTATATGAAAAGCCAGTCATTTGTTATGGAATGAATTGGGAAAGACATTGATAAAATACTGCATAAGTTTACAGAGGATTTTTTTATTTGTATATATACTTAAAGAGATTTTGTCCAGGTAACATTCTAATTCATGATTACTTTATAAAGAAATAAATCTTCCGTGATTTTGCTTCTACAAATGCATCAATTATTAAAATTCAAGTTATTAAGTACGTATAATTCAAGAATTAATATTGTCAAATATCAGTTATTCTCGAGTCATTAAGTTTCTTAATGTGAGAATTAATATATATATACAATTTCATATACAGAAGAGAATAAAACAAATAATTTATAATTTACAATTTAAGAATTCCCCAAGTGATTTGAGGTTACACTAAATTTGTATTTACAAAAAGTATTTATGAACAACAATTAAAATCTTAATGGAACAACAAAAGAGCAAGTTAACCGGCCAAAAAATAATGCGAGAAAATAAGGCAAAAGATTCCTACATTGCCGGAGAATTCTTCTGTCACCTAACACGGAGGAGGGAAATATGTAAATATGCAGAACTTAAAAATACAATTCTTAGAAAAGTTAAACTTTAATAAAATAAAAACAAAAACTATCTCTAATTTAATGAAGCTGGGCTATCAAGTCTTTCACAGAAGTACAAAATCCCTAACCAATTACTTCAAGACGACACTTAAAGTTAGCTCCATTAACATGATAAAAATGTTCAACATTTACCAACCTTTTGCTAAAGCCTGTTCATCGATTTTAACCTTAAGTTGGTGCAAGTAAACGACCAGATGAGGATAAGAGAAATACGGAGACCCCGTCAAAAGACATTGAATTCAATCTCTTCGACACGAACTCTCGGACAGTCCACACGTCCAACTTTTGTTTTCAACCCACGATATGGGAAGACAGACGAACACTTTTATCGTCTGCCAAAATAGCCTATTCCCCACTTAAGGTAAAAATATTTTTTTTTATTATTCATCATATTGCTCTGTACAAATGAAATACATCGAGCTGTCTTTTTGTAGATCAATTTTAATATTTGTATATTACTAGAACCCACTCTGAATTTATTTTGCCCTATATACATGTGTGTGTGTGTGTGTGTGTGTGTGTGTGTGTGTGTGACAGCTGCTGAGCCTAATGTATGAACTTGTATAAAACTACTACCATAGTGTCAAAATATTCATGAGGTCACAGTCTTTTCGATTTACAGCACTATTCTTTGAATTCGTTTCAGCCAAATAAGAATAGTCTTGTTTATTATTATTATTAGGACAAAAACAATCTCTTGTTTCTTATCAAGTTCGCAATTTTGATTTCTTTGATGTCATCAAAAAGAACAAATGCTGGCTTACTGATGTTTATCATTTCAAGATGGGAATATTTTCATCAAAGCTACATCATAATGTGCATACATTTTGTGTCCCTGTTCCCTACTTTTTTTTTTTATAATCAACAAAAAAAATTTAAGTAATTAATGCTAATTACAATAGCACAGAAGTTTGAGGGAGGGTTGCGTGCATAAGCAAAAAGTACCACGGCATGCACCAAATAATTTTTATTCATAATACATTTTTATTTCGTATTTAAAATTGAATCACAAAAGTACAGTTTTAAAGAAAGTACAAAACTGCCATTTTGTATTTAAATCAAAACACAAACAAAAAATTTGTTATTCGTTGGTTTTGAGAACTTTACAATAATGATGTTCAGGGGCTTTTCACAACCAAGTCATGTATCGATAACAATTTTCAGAAATTGTAGCTTGTTAGTTTTAGCATTAAAATCCTAGAGTTAGTGTAAGAAGAAAGATCGTAAAGAACAAGAAAAATAGATAAAAATGCTCATGTAAAAATCATTAATAATCCTTCATATTAGTAACTAATAGTTTATAATAGTCATATTAGTAATTAATAGTTTCTTCAAATTGACCGAACGATGCAATCATAACAAGTGTGATAATTTGAACTGTCAAACTACCAACGCATCTATTACTTTTGATTGAAACCCTTAATTCCCAAAAAACCCATAGAGGTCCCTATTTTATTCAAATCTAGAATGTATTTAAAATGAAAATATAATGAAAATGCGCATTAATTTACATTTTAAACAAAATAAATACAAAACGAAACACTACGAATCATGTATGAAATAACAACAGCTTTTTCATCTTTGAATAAAAGAACTTCTTATTGTTGATTACATCTGAATAAATGTCTCTTAACAATTCTAATTTGTTCAACTTATCTGTGTTGTCGAAAGTCCTTGGATCTAAAACACATTTGAAAACCATCTTGGAAATCATTTTTAAAATATTCAATTACTTTACCGGTACTATATATATAATAGATAGATAGAGTGAGAGAGAGAGAGAGAGAGAGAGAGAGAGAGAGAGATAAGTAACGAAAATCTTGGATGAAATCCTGAGAGCTCAATGTTAAGTCAGAGCGAATAATTTAATTTAAAGGAAAAACAGACCACTTTAAGGCTCCATAGTAATAATTTATTTCAACAGAGAATTTTACTTTTTTCTGGATCCTCAGACTTTACTTTTAAAGACGAAACGAAAAAATGAATTTAAAATTTATATAATATATATTTATTATATTTTATATAATAGAACTTAAAAACACTAAGTAAAATTATTTAAGTATGATTTTCAAAGAAAATTAAGTTAATCTGATGATTATGTCAAAAAAAATTGCCATATTAGCTGAAATTACTCATAATGGATGTAGAACAAAAACCACCATAGACAAAACACACACAAGTGAAAAGAAGGTGTATAAAACATCCTTGGTTCGAATAAAAATCTTTGATACCTATATTCAGATTTAAATCTGTGTGGTTAGAATATGAAACCTGTTAAAAATACTTTTCCTTAAATCAGAATAAATACGTGGAAAAGTATTGGTATTCTACTTTAATTCACGAATACCTGAAAAATATTAAACTTTGAAAACTTTGAAAAATCGAGAACACGTAAGAAAAAACTGATCTGTTATAGTGTTATTATTCTTTCATTTTTGGATGTCTGGAAATTGTGAATATGCGATCAAGTAAAAAAAATGATTCAAACTTTTATTATTCTTTCATGAGTTACTGTTAATCTCTATTTAAAAAAATATCACGGATATTGTTTGAATTTCTATGAAATTTCTTTTCTATTTTGTTTTTTTTTTTTTTTTTTTGGTGTATGGTGTTTTGTCAATGGATGGAAAAACTACATTATATCGTTTTTGTTATTCATTTTTCTATTCCTAACTAGAAAGTCCTATTGTCTCGGATTCATGTCAACCACACGCTGATACTTCTGTTATTTGGAAGTATTTTTAAGTTATTATTCTTCTAAATAATTTTGAGTTAATTTGCATAATTCTGAAAAGGTAACTTGATAGAAATATTTTAGCTTTGAAAATAGACATTTGCAATATGTCTGGGTTGAGGGCTGATATTAATCTGGGTTAAGAGCAGGTATTAGTAGTCGAGGGCTGAAATTATTGAGATGCCTGTGTTGCGGCCTCATATTACTAATAAGTCTGTGGTGGTGAAAGCTGATATTAGTTACATGACTAGTAAAAAAAATCTAATACAGACTAGTTTTAAGCAATAAAATTTTCTTATCCAAATATTTCATTTATGCCAAATCCGCAAAACATCGTTGTTTAATTATACAAACCTTATATCGTTTAAGTTCATCTTGTTTAGCCACTGGATCCTTTTTTTGTTTGGTGAGATATGAAAAACATTTTAAAAAATAATTTTAATAATAAAAATTAAATAAAATTAATGACTGAAAATATGGAATTATAAAAATTCTCATGTTTAAAAATATTTAAAACACTACCGTGACAATGTCACGGCGTGACATCTGGATTTGTAAGACAACGCCATGATAACTTCATGTACTTTAAAGTGGGAAAAAAAGCCTGTCACGTATCGGTTGAATTCAAAATTATCAATCATTAAATCGATTAACTGTAAATTTTCACTTCAGAAATTTCTGATGATTTGTACGACTAAATTCTTTCGAAAGAAAATGTTTGATATTCAATCTTTTGAATGGAAATTCACGTCGTGCAGCTAGATATTGAAAATAAAATGGTAGCTACTTTTCATGAAGTCGACTGTAATTCATATAAAGATGCATAGTAATAAAAAAAAACTTGTCAAACTTTGACATCGTTTCATTAATTTTTTCTTTCATAACCACAAGAAATTGAACAGCACTTTTTAATGCATCATTATACACAAAGGATTGTCTACCAGGATATTTGATCAATATTAAATCTACATCAGTATGTATTTCTATAAACAAAAAAAAATAGAAGGAAAATATTTACAGAGAAAATAACGACACTCACTTCAGCAATGTAATTATTGAACCTCTCTTGGTTATATTTTTGATCAGATATTTCAGCCGCTAGCAGATTAGAGCATGCAAGAATTGTAAGAAGCAAGTCAATCAAAATAATAGCCATGATGTTAATTTGGAACCTGCAAAACAAATTTGAAAAATCATTACAGTGATTATTCAAAACCAGAAAAATCATGACATACACATACACACTTCAAACTATTCGGTCATTCCAAGTCCAAAGACTATAAATCCTATCGTAACCAAGATCAGATCTATTTCTATATATAAATGTCAGAAGGCTGTGGATCATTCTGCTCAAAAGGCCTAGCTTCAACGTGGTTTTTCCTTGTCCTAGACCGGTTGCCACCCAAGGCTGTCCTGCCATTTATCCATAAGTGGTTGTTTCATTTCTTTCACAGGGGTATTAGCATGTAAGTGAATGTAATGGATTCAAATGGATCGAAATCCGAGCCGCTATCCATTACTCCACCATGCCTCCCACAATGTACTGTGCGTATCTGTCATCTTAAGTCACATGGGTTTCACTCTTGACATTTCTTCACCTTACCAAGTAGTAACTCCTTAGAGAGTGAAATATAAAAAGAAAAGACAGACATCGAAATATGTTAACCATTTGAGCCCTGCGTTTTTGAACAATTTTAACCTTTCTGCCTGAGCTCCTGAGTCAAAACTCGCAAATAATTGGTATGTAATGTTTTGATGGTAGATATAAAAAATAGTTACAAGTGTTTACCAATCATTCAACCGGTGGCTGGGCATTAAATCATTTTTCTTTACCACTGTTCAACCGGGGCTGCGTATTACATCATTTTTCTCTACCACCGGTAAAGCGGTGGTCAGGGCTCAAAGGATTCATTTTAATTTTTAAAAAAATGTATTACTTCAAACTGAACGAGCATCAATGTCAAACTTTTCTTGACATTAAGCTTTACAGCATAAATTTTTTGCATTTTGTCAAAACTTGGTTACAAATAAGGCAACTCATGTGGCAGTTATTGTGTCTTTGCTGTCAGAACGACATGTGTTTTAAGATGGATTTTATAGATTCATGTTTATAAAATATGGTATATGAATTAATGAAAAGTTATAAATTGTTTTTCATTACCAAAAATAGTATAACAACGATAATGAAAAACCAAATGATCGAAATTTAGGGGTTTTTTTATATACTAAAGATAACCCAATGCAAACCTTAAGAGCCACTCAAGGTAGAGAGTTTGTGAATGATGTTTTTTTTATATGAATGAAAGAAGTGAAGATTATGAGAATAAGAAGGATATATAACCACAGCCTCTTGACCTGAAGAGGTTAAGATTGTGAAAAAATACCATGAGCAATACAAAGTAGCAGCTTTTAGGAAAAAGCTGCGAGTGGAATTTCCTCCTTATATTTGAAACATGGGGGAAATGAGGATGATCTGACTTTGTGAAAGTGACATGACGTGTCCCAATAATAAAGGGCTGAACTGGTGGAAACTAAAAGGAGTTCATCTAAACATTTATCATGGAAATAGCAATAGAGTGGTGATGGTTTTGTGACATTGCATCTGTAGGAAAGACACTACTGTTTAAATGATTTTTAATTCTATAAAGGCTAGAAAGTTAAGCAGCCCCAGTTCAGATATAACGATAATGTTCAAATTTTGATTCAATATGACTCTTGTAAAGATAAGGCATAACAAGAAAGAATCATGGAGCAATGCAACGAGCCGACCTTTATTTTTTCCAGCGTCTTTACCAATGGATCATATAAACGAATTCAACTTGAGGTCTGGGGTGAATCTGAGACCTAATAGACATTCAAAACATGGAGCCTCATTGAGAGTACAAATATTTATTGTGGCTGAAGAAAACTTAGTGTCTGATCGGTGATGATAAAGTGATACTAGCTTGGGCTTTGAAATGTTGAAAGTTACAACCAGTTTTTCCCTATTGAGCTGTTAAGAGCTATGTCAGAGGAAAGATCAGCTGCATCTCGATTTTTGAAAATGCGTTCATAAACTGTGAGAATATCTACATATACACTCTTGTGCAAATTAATTGAAACAACGAATAATTCCGTTATTATTTACTCATTTTTCGTATCTTTCCAATGAAACATGACCCAGTGCACATGCTAGTACTTCGTATGTCCATTCCACGAAGTCGTTCCTTGCAGATTAACCGCAGATTCGAGATTGCATTTAAATCAGGAGAGATTCCGAGCCAATCGATAGTACATTTATTTGCTCACTGGTAAGGCTTGCCAATTTGTTCATGCAGTATTACACTTTTCGTACGTTTCCTTGGAGTAACGTCCATCGCAGACAATGGTCGTAGGACAACTAAACGACAGTCGAGACAATAATGTCTGGGTGTAATAAAAATCTGATGAAATCACGGATGACATAATATTTTTCAAGGCCAAACAAATTTCATCATATATCCTAAAATAAATTCATAATATTGCACACTACTGCAAGTGACTTAATCTGAGGAAAAAATAGAAATTGATTATACACTGTCACTCCAGTAGGTCTAAAACTGATCTTATGATGAAAGAAAGGAAACTAAAGCGGTTGTTTTAATTAATTTACACAAGGGTGTATGTTTACTAATGATCTGGGAACGTTCCTAGGCAGATCGTTAATAAAAACAGAAAAAAAATGTTGGTCTGTATTGATCTTATAAACTTCAGAAAACTCACTATTTATAACAACCTTCATGGACCTACTTGAGAGAAAGGTCATTCTGCAATATCTTTAGTATACAGCGTTAATTCTTATCTGAACACAAAGTCAATCCCTGCCTTTATTGTATCTGAAGTAAACAGCTTTCCCATTAACATTGGGTTAGGATTTTAAAATTGGAAATAGAAATCTTGGATGCCAACCATAAAAATAAAATGTTCTGCCTAATTTGAACAAGCGAAGCAATATTTTCTACCAATAGAAATAAGAAAAACAGAATAAAAAATAATAATTCCCGGAGTCTCTCAAAGAAGGCGATAATTAGTCGGTATTCAGACATCGATATGACAATATGCTACAATCACAACAATGCATCATCATCTCTTATCACAGAGAGAAGTATTTTCGACTTAAATATCTTACTCCTTAAAAACTTTAAAATAAGTTTATCAACAACACCTATTTTGTTTCACATGTCAAGCATTTTCTAAACATATTTGCCAGAAAAACAGCATAGCATAATAAAGAAAGGCCCCGAACTTAATAAAAAGAAACTTTTATCGTGAAAAAGCGTATGTTATTAAGAATACACACCAAAGTATTTTTAATTATTTTTTAAAAAAATTAATTCCTTTCTAGCACATTCGAAATTTCGGTTGATATCTTGTTTTATTTAAAAAAAAATTTTTGCATCAGTGGTCGCGTAATATTTAGCATTAGTTTTTTAGCGCTTTTTTTTCATTTGAAAAATACATTAATTTGGAAATTCTTACAAAAATCAAATATTTGTTGAATTTTAATGTAACTTTCAGAAATGTTTGTGTTTTAGAAAGTCATAATAAAAATATTTTTTGCATCTGTTACCCCATCTCCACTTACCTAATTTTATGAAAAATCGAAAATTCCCTTTGTGTTATTTTGTGATTATTTTAATTAAATGCAGAAGACTTTGAAGAATATAAATCATCGGTTATTTTTGTAAATCGAGAACAGCACCTGCCCAAACTTTAGCTTTGTTGTAAAATACAAAACCCAATAAAACTAAGACATTATTTGATTAAAAAAGCTTTTAATGGCTTTTAGTTTTATGAATTTAAAGACATCTTAAATATGAATATTAAGGACATCTTTGTCTGAAGTCAAAATATCTTTTCGTTGAAAAATGAATTTTCACAAGAATTGTTTTCTTTTTTTCAATTTTAAATACAAAATGTGATAAAGTTGTTAAATATTTTAAAATTAAATTTGGATATGGGTATCTCTGAAAATGCTCTTATTAAAAAGATCTATTTTTACAAATGATTAAATTTGAAAGCTTATTACAATTTGCAAACAGCATCTATTTTTAATTTGCCAAACAATGTATTAAAATCGTCTCCGACAAACTTTCTGTAAAGCACAATTTTGAAATAATGTCACGTGTTCTAGAGTATTTTCACCTGATACTGGCCTCAAATTGCGTTGATTTCGTATCAAATTCTCTGACTGACCGACCTTCGTCGTCGCATTATACAAAATTTTATTTTTTTTTTTTTTATACATATTTCACTAAATATTTTTTCATTTTTCAAATTTAATCATTTTTTCTTTTTTAGATTCAATTTTAGGGATGGAGTCAGTGTAGGTTTGGACACATCTTCGTTAAAAAAGTACCTAACAAATCAATAAAATAATAGACTTTTGAAAGTATTTAATTTTTAAGAATTACTTTATAGTTAAATAAGCTGGTTCACTTAAAATACTGTCACTTCTGTCCTTCCGTCCGATAAATTGCCCAAATGTTAGTTGTCGATACATTGACGTAAAAAAAAAAAAAAAAACGTCAATTCACACCTTCAAAACCAATCACCACGGCTAGATATGCTTCTAGCATCCCGCTACCACTTTCTTATCAATGTTGAATTCTGTACAATTTTGTGCAAAAAAAGTGGATCAGAGAGCTTACTCAGCTTAGTAAATATTTTCAAGAAAAATCAGCTTCTAATTGGTCAATAAACATACAAGTGGGCGTTGCAATCCACCCACGTACAAATATTTTTCCAGCGCGTGATCAAGTCAAATTTCCCGCAAATTTGCTGCGATCCTGTCACGTGATTGAATCAATTATAAATAGCAGACACAAGCTTGCTGCTTTCTCTTCTTCTCTACTCTTCTGCGAAGATGTGACCTTAAGGATTCTCGTCTAGACCATGAGCGGTCAGATGTCAAAAGCATATTCACGCATGCACGTACGTACGAACTTTTCCAAACTACATTACAAACATACAGAACATTTCCAAACAAGCAACAAGAACTTTTCTCTTTGAAATCTTCTTCTAAAGCTACAGTTTATTTAGCATTTCTCAGCTTTGTAATTAATTCAACTTTTGTGAGTTCAGATAAAAATATTTCACAGTCTAAGGGACATAACACCCACAGATCTTTAACTTCTACGCATGTACATCAACACACAAAATAAATACAAATGTTATGTTTTAAAACCATTTTGTTCCTTCTTGTATTTCATGTTTTGTGGCATTTTACGTTTAATATAAATTGTGTGGTCATGTTATTCACGCAGCCATAAACAGACATCTACAAATGGTCCATTCTTATCAATATACCACTACATATGGTAAACCCGACGTTTGACATGGGGCGAGAAAACAAATAGACCACTACATGCTTCTCTTATTTCCAACTAAATTTTTTAGAAGAAAAATTAAGTAGTTTGTTTCAAATTACATTACGTAAACTTTAAATTTTCTAATTCTCCTAAAATAACTTTTGAAGGAAGTATTATTGAATTTTACAAGATTTTTAAGCGGAGAATTTCACTTTTTTTTTTTTTTTATTACAAAACTGTCAATGGTTGATATGATTTTTACGTCAATTTTGATGATTAAAAAAAAACAAAACAAGATTTTTAGCTAAAATTTCGGACGTGCT